CCCAGATCATCAGCACTATGTCTCTGTGGAGGGACCACTCTCCCGGAGGGGACTCTTGGCGGGAGAGAAAATCTGCGACCTGATTGTGTCGCCCTGGCAAGTACGCTGCCCGCAGGGTGGACAGGCGAGGAGAGGCCCATTCCAGGAGCTCTCTGGACACACTCAGAAGTTGTGCTGACCTGGTGCCCCCCTGATGGTTGATGTGGTAGACAACAGAGGTGTTGTCCGACCGAACAAGTACATGCCTCCCTTCCAGGTGAGGCAGGAAGTGCCTGAGTGCCAAGTGCACTGCACGCAGCTCCAGCACATTTATATGCTTGGAATGGTCTCTTTGACCCCAGCGGCCCTGAACCGCTCTGCGTTGCCATACAGCCCCCCATCCCATGGAGCTGGCATCCGTTGTGACCACTTCCCTGCGACACACTACCACTCCCATGGGGACACCCCTGGACAAATAATCTTCGTCCCTCCATGGAGTCAAGGCATGAAGACATGACCACGTCACTGCGAGCTTGCGATGCCTGTGCAGCCTGGCATCCAGGCGAAAGCTGTTGAGCCACCTCTGCAAGGGGCGAAGTGACAGCAGGCCTAAGGGCACCACCCGAGTGACTGATGTCAGCTTGCCGAGTAGTTGCAGGAAGGCAACATAGGGGAGCTGCTTGCCCAGCCTGAACCGATTGACCAGCTGGAGTATGCCGGCCACCCTTTGAGCGGATGGGCGAGCTCTCATTGAAGATGAATCCAGAACCACCCCAAGAAAGGTGGTCGTCTGGGAAGGGATCAGGCAGCTCTTCTCCAGGTTGACATTGAGGCCTAACTGGGACATATGAGCGAGCAGGCGGTTTGTGTCGTGAAAGGCACAGGCCTGAGACGGGGCGCAGAGAAGCCAATCGTCTAAGTACGGCAGAATCTTCACTCCGCAGGCCTGCAGAGGAGAGAGGGCTGCCTTCACGCACCGAGTGAACACCCTTGGGGAGAGAGAGAGCCCGAATGGAAGTACCCGGAACTGCCAGTGGTGACCCTGATAGGCAAACCTGAGAAAGCGGCGATGTTCTGCCGCAATAGGCACATGAAAATATGCATCCTTCAGGTCTACAGACGTGAACCATTCTTCCCTTGTGACAGCTTGAAGGACTTCTGCTGTTGTGAGCATGTGG